TGTCTGAAGTGGCTGTTATATTTTGCTTAGTCATTGCACACCAGTCACTTTCATTATGATAGGTTTGCACATACGCAATGAATTCAGTTAATTTTACCATAAAGTGAAAAATAATTTGTGTATCTGTCCCATAAGTCCGATCTGCTTATGGGTTCTTCCTTGGCTCATGAAAATTAGGCCAGTGGTTTTTCCGTAATCCTGCTGACAGACAAACCCACAATCGCACAGAAAACACAACTTCCTTGGCGGGTAAAAAACAAACAAACAAAACAAGACTTATAAGAATCTACAGCCATGCTAGCGGCTCTGTGAGGCTGCGTTTATTTGAGCTAATAGTTGTTGAGACATGTCACTCAAAACCACAAATGTCATGGTAGCACTAGAGGAAAAATCAGGATTTATCCTATGGGCCAAATTTAATGGCAATCCATCCAACAGTTGTTTAAATATTTAAATCCAGACCAAAGGGTAAAACACAGACAGTTGTACCAGCACTTTCTAAACTATAGTCAATCAAAGCTTGTACCCTTCCTCCATTCTTCAGTGTCTACTTTCCTTTGTGACAATTAAAAAAAATGCTTAGAATTTTGCCTGCCTGACGCCCCCTGCAGTTAGTCACTAATTGTCTGCTGCCTTTTTCATAATTAATCACAAGAAATGGGTAATTACTGTCAAGATAAAAGTAAACCATTAAAATGGAGCTCTGCATTATTGTTATTCCATTCAAAATACAACAATTTTACATAGTTGGACGTTCCTAATAACTCAAAAAAATCAAACCATCTAATTTGCATGGTGACTTATAAAATGGATTTTCCAGTAATAAGAACACTTAATAAGTGGAAAGCATGGATCACCAGCACTGCAACAAACATTACACTACACTTTACTCCAAGATGGTGGCAAGATCTTGGATGAGAGACTGCATCTCCATGCTGTCAGAAAGTTGTAAAATAGCGGTTTACAAAACTTCCGACACTCGGCCCATGTCATTTAGAGGTGGCATCATACTTCACTCACATAGTACCTTTTTTATTAAAAGTCAGGTCCTCACTCCACCCATCTCGCTGACTCCATCTCAGTCAGGACAGCACTACCACTCCCTTCCCTTGTAAACTTAAAACTCACCTCCTCAAGAAATACCCTCACGTCCCCTGCTCCCACTCGTATCAAACCCCTTTCTGCCATATACTCCTGCAAATATGGTCCTGTCTAAATCTTCCTTGCTTTCTAGCTGTTCTTCCTCTAATTTCTTTGTGTTAAACTTTACTGACAGAGAAGTGGTCTCACATTACAACAGCAGTGTTTGCTTAAATCTATTATCAGGGCGCCATCAGCCTGTACTGCTGCCCTCATCATAATTTGCTTTGGATAAGAGCAAGAGCTAAATACCTATAATGTAAATGTAATGTGAGTGAAAGTGCTTTATTCATTTTTCTGTCTACAGTGATGCCAGCTACCAAGCAGAGCGTCTAGTGGCTTAGCCTAAAGTGGATTTTGATGGGAGTACTACTCACAAGGTTATTTCAGAAAATCTTTGAGGATATGAGGCGTCATAATGATGCAGTTTTATGGTGCCGCAACATGTCAAATCAAATTACAGAAAATACCATTTTAATCTTAATGATTAGATTGTCAGTCTACTTAATTATTTCATGAACTTTTTGCAACCTCCGGTTTGTATATGGTTTGCTGCCTTAAAGTACTTCAGCCAAAATCTAATTTTAGAGTGTCAAGCACTCACCCCCTGCAGGCTTGAAAGAGTGGCTGTAACATGTTTGTGTTTTTCTTCTTCAGTAAGAACAGCAGCAGCTTGAAGTTGTGTCATCTTACAACGGAGTCCAAAATCTTCACAGCCAAAAACAGGAACAAGACGAACATAAAATGTCACAAACCACTCTTGCAGCATAAAACATTTCTCTGCTGTTCATCCATATGTTCAGTATTGTTCTACTGGCTAAATACAAAGCTTCTCTGGTATGCCATTGTCCTCCTCAAAGTTCTGTTTTTCTAACAGAAGCATTGTATTTACATATTTTACACTAATATTACCCACTTATTACGATACTAAATTATTATGGAGAGACTATAATTGTCAAATCAACAACCATATCTAGGCACAGCATGTCTGTGAAGCTTTGGAATTATGTTGCAGCAGTGTGCATGGAGCTGAACAATACTTGATTATTACCTCACTAAAACTAAAAACATAACATTCAACCCAGTGTGGCCGGGGAATGGGGATTCAGGACCTGGAGGCTAATATACAAGAGTTTAGGCTGTTGTTAGTGGCTCTGTCCTGCTCTTTTTGGATTATACTATGACCACATTACTATAAATTTAGGGTGGTAAATTTGCCATCATTGAAAACTAATGCTGCATGTGAGAAGGTTTAGCTTGACAGGTGCAG